ACGAGTGTGTATAATGAGCCCGAGCACAAAAGCAGACGAAACACGTAACATCGACTTACAACTAATAATATGCACTAATAAAAAACAACAACTAAAGACTGCTCCCTTGCAGTCGGCCTTAATATGAATCGCATGTTGCATTTAAAGTGGCAAGTGCAGATCACATGCAAAGTGGCAGACGTGGAAGCGTCTGTGGCAAGGGGATTTAGTCTCAGACACTTCGTTATAAAACAATTCAATTTTTGGCTTATGCAAACAGAGTTATGGAAAACAACAACAGCATGGAGTGCTGCAGAATTCAGAAGGCGAGCAAAATATTTACTAAGCTAATTTTTAATTAACGCCCGAAGCAGTTGCCCGTTGCCCGTTGCCCGGAGGCGGCATAATTGTTGCTAGACGCGCCCCGTCTCAGTCGCGGTCGCAAAAGGGAAGTGGTCTGCATGCAAAGGCGCAAGCGCGACCTTTCGTATAATTTACAAATTGGAGTCAGCCAGCATGGCAATTGAACGTTAGTGCCACGAAATGAATGATAATTGACATGGTATTTAGTTTAGTTTTTGTTCACATATTGAAGGCAAATTATAGTTGCATAATTCTTTTCGTTTCTTACTTATTTATAGCCTATGCATATTAATGTGGAACACCTGCAGTTATCGAGTTTGGGTATTCACTTACAAATACATATTTAATTCGAGTAATTTCAGGGCTCTTGTGGTTGCACTGCATTCATTAAGTACACGCCAAATAAATATAATTCGAAGTTATCAAGTATAGCTATTAAATTTTGTGTACTAACCACCATTCACTTTGAAGCCCCGTCCTAGATCCTATGTTTAACAGGAATGAAATGGTAGAGTTATTCGCGGCCTACTCCCTCCTTGTAACCACTTGAGGGACAAAATTTATCAATTTTTATACGCTGTACCCAAAGGATAAAAGGGTTCAGCGCGAATGTTTGCAACACATAGAATATTCTGAACACTCGCCCGCTATTACTGGGTTTGGATACATCACGTAATTTTTGCATTAATTCTTTTTTACTTATATCTGGATAATAGTTATTGGACGGCCGGGTTTTCTCGTCTGTAAGTCTCCCTCTTGCTTCTGAATTACAACAGCATCGAAATTCACAAATTTGGTAATAGTTTTTGAACAGAGTCTTAGATTTCGATATTCTATGTAACATTATTATACCGAGAAAATCAGAAATGTTAACCCCGGCTATAAAGATCCTGCAGGATCAATTACATGATCAAATCTTTTTCTTCAAAGGGTTTTTTAAACTGCAATTTTGATTGACATAACTACCATCTCAATAAGTGCAGTCGATCAAAAGCCCAAAATTATCAGTAATATTATTGTTGTGTGTGAACTCCATGGTCTTACGCTTTCGCCACTGCATGAACTGACATCCGAGGGGATACTAAACCCATTAAACGGAAGGTGGTAATTAACAAATTATAAGTTTATTGTGTGGTCTTCTTATCAATATTCCAAAGCACCTTTATTTTTATTGTAAAAGATGTTATATTTTTGGATGTTCAGACCCACGATTAGTTTCTGCATTTGTTTTAGAAATGCTTTAATTGAAATTTAACATAAAAGTTAATTATATAGTTTAAAAAGAAATGAATGATAGAGTCGAGCGGACTCGATGTAAATGTTTGATTTCAGCAAATATTTCAAACAGTTGCGGGAGATATAAAGAAACTCAACGACTATCAAGTGGGGGTTTTACGATCCCCAAGTTCGGCAGTTGTGCTTGTTAACATACTCTTCAAGATGAACATGCGCTCTGTCAGAAAATATGATTTTAGATAAACGCACTGTTTGGGTTACACAACATTGACTTTGGAAATAACTTCCGCAGAGATATGATACTGACTTTTAGTCAAGATTCCAGCGGGAAAGATCTGCCACTGTCAAAATCCCATATGATACAAAATAAATAAATATATATGGACCACCCTGTATCTGTGCTTACTTTTGGAGGTCTGCTATGCCTTCTTCTGTGTTTCATACATCTGCAATGAACAAGCACACCCTTTAGGAATTTATTATTATTATTTTGTGCACTTTACAAAAGTGAAATCTGACAGCGAGAAATCGTGGGTACATAAAGATTTTTATAGTTTAGTGCGAGTGTACATCTAAGATTCCAGACGGAAACGTGACAGACTCCGCAAAGTATGGACTTCCCCGCTATTAGTGACTTTCGTACAAAGTTTCACTATGATAGGTCAAATCTAAAGGAAGTTATAGCCATAAGTGCAACCTCTGCTGCTTTGACTTCATTCTGTACCACACACATACACATACACACATATGTACACACATACTTCATTATGAATGGGTACAGGGTATTTAAGAGTTGAGCTCGACTCTAGCACTCCCTTCTAGTGTGTATTGATGAAGGGGCTAGCGACTGCAGCATTCCAGACTATGATTTGAATCGTCCTTTGTAAACGGGCTCTTTGAGAACTCGTATGTGCTCTATTACGACTAAGTAGTGGCTTTAGGAGTGCTTGCTTCAGCTTATTTCCACGACTCTGAATCGCGGTCGGCTAGTGAAATGCAGTCGTGGAATGTAATACTCGTGCCTATCCGGACAGGCCGTTGCATATTCATAGAAAGCACTTGAAATGCACACTTACATACATACAAGTATGTACATACATATGTGTACATACGTATGTACCAGTATACGAGTAGTATAAATGCCAACTGTGGCTGAACTGATAAATTAAGCAACTCCAACTGATGCAGCGCAATTAAAATGCAAGATTCAAAACGAGAAATCTGAACAGGAAAGTCGTGCCTGGTTTTCACTCCAACACAGACACTGCTGGAGGTGCCATGGAAATTTATGCCTTGTACTCGTTAGTTTTGATGTCTTTGATGCCACTTGACAGACAGCAACACAGACAGGAAACTTTTATGGGGGATTTGAGTTTGCATTTATGAATTTTGTGTGGTATCTAAGGTCGGCTTAGCGCTCGTACTGCGGAAATAGCTGCTGGGTGGGGTTCTACTTGTAAGAAGGTAGCGGATCGCGGCCTTTAAAGGTGCGTCACCCACATGCTATAAATTTGTTTTCACCGAACCAAAGGGTAGCGGTAATTTAGTGGGTTTTTAATTTGTAAGATGCGCCCGGTGCACTCGTAGTTTGTATCAGAAGTCTATGAATATTTACAGTTCGCAGTATGTAGCAGAGTCTGTTGAAAACAGTCGCATGATGTGAACATAGTTGGGGGTCTGTGTGTCCGCGGGAACACTAGGGTGTACGGCTATCTAAATCAAAGTGCACGCATCGAGGTTACACATTGTTGCGTTGACTTTTACGATCGCATTTCCGTCAATCCCGTGGCTTTCTTATACATACATACAAGTGTGTACATACGTGTATGCAAATTCGCACACATAAAGCAAACAGCGGAATTCTCGCGAAATCGGCGTAGTTGCTTTCGTAATTACCAGCAATTTTCCATGAATTTATTAAGAGTCAGCAGCTCCAAAACGTTGCAAAATCGCGCACAGTTTAAAAAGCAACCCGAGGAAGAGATACCAAGCGAAGCCCGCTACCACCCCTGACCCTGCCCATGGCAGCACACAAACAAACAGACCATAAATAGTATAAATTTCTACATGACACGCGATGATTATGCACTTTCCATGCAAACAAGTGGCCCCCGCAGCCGTAGCCGTAGTCGCAGCTCCAGCTCCAGCTCCATCCCCGGTCTTTAACGTCATTTGCGTATTGCTCGGGCTCTACGAATGTTCATACGCCCTGATAATGAACATTTAGAACTCGCAACTCGCCAGCTGAAAACGCAAATTTTAATTGTTCAAAGCGCAAGCGACATTGGAGGGCGGGACGTGGGGCCGAAGAGAGCCGTTCTCTTCGCTTCTCATCAGCCAAATCGCAGTGCCTCCAATTTACAAGTGGTGTCGGCTTTTCATTGATAGTGTGTGAGAGTGCCCCCCGACCTCGCCCCCATCACCGTGTGAGTGAGTGTGTGTGTGTGTGTGTGTCATGCGCGCCTCATCTGCATGTGTGTAGCTCATTCATGGGATGGCCAGTCTGCGGGCGTCTGTTTCCTATTAGCTCGCACTTGCAATCTTGCAATTGTCCGCCAACTCGGCGTCCGCGTCGGCGGCGGCGACGGCGGCGTGCTTCCAGTTCCAGTTGAGAAGTGGCCTGGTGGCAGCGACCGCCATGGCCCGGCGGGTCGGCCCAACTGGATGGCAATCACTAGGCAAAAATTCCATGAATTAATTTCAGTTTTGCATGTTGTTATTTATTAAAATTGTGTTTTGCGTTTTGCGTTTTGCCCGAGCTCTGCTCCTCTTTCATATCTGCCGCTTTTCATCATTCTTTTCGACTTGCCTTTTGAGCATGTGGCGGCCTGAACCCACAAGTATTTTCGTGATTCTTATCTGTCGCTTGTTGCGAGTGTTGCCTGTGTTGCCCGTGTTGCCCGTGTTGGCTGTGTGTGCGAGTACAGGCATTTCCCAAATAAATCAACATATTTTTAATTAGGTATGGTAGATATTTATTAAATGTTCATCTTTCTGCTCTTGGTTTCATACATTTATTACATATTTAAAATTAAAATTGTCACTGCTTCAATCGATTACAATCAAATACGCTGCTTTTACAAGTACGTGTTTAAATTCAATTTTGTTTTTGTATAAATATGATTTTAATTAAATTAAAATGTTTATCGTTAGTTAGCCTGCGAATGATGATAATAGAGTAGCTTTTGCTCTGGTTTATTGTTAAGCATTCAATTAAAATACAAATAAATCTTTAATTGATTATCACAGTATTTACGCAAAAATAAATATACTTAAATGTTTGATGGCTTAAAGGTTAAATTATATATATGAAATGATTTTTATTACATACATGTATACTTGTATTTTTGTTGTTATTCGCTATAAATGTTGACTTCGAAACAGCTAATTGTTATGTACACAGAGAGACGTCTAGGGTTTTTGTCTAATATTTGAAATCTGCCTAAAAATTGAAAGTCGTTGTCTAACGAAGCAAAACATTCAATTTTTATGCAAGTTTCTCAATTGCATAAATGTCGGTGCTCAAGGGAACTGAACGCAGTTCTTTTGAGCAGCGATTTTAAGCTGCTTTTTGTACATACAATACATTGATATTGGTATTCCGTTAAATTTAAACATAAACAAAAGTGCGGTTACAAACCATGCGGCTCCGGGCTAATGAGCCTCACCAAATTGGAAAATTATGCTAGTGTTTGATGTGTTTGTGCTTTTGAACCTGCAAAATGAAACAGAAAGAGATAGGAAATGGCACCTGGTTAGAGAGTTTGGAGATAGATAGGATCTAAGCTTATCAATAACATAAGTCTTCATCTTGACCCTAAAACTCTAGATTCAAAATTCACCTAATTTGCCAAAGCATTAGCTAACTTTTCAAAAATGTGCCTCACTAAATCAATAAGAAAGCACGTCAGGGTCGCCAATCTTGGCATGAAGCAGGCTAAGTTTATTAACCTGATTATTTTATATGGCTATTATAGGAACGATATCGTAGCCATTTAGAAGTTTTATAATGTCTCATTAAACCCTCATCAAAATTGCTTCCCTATATCATATAGATACCAAACTAGCAATTGGTGTCTTTTTATTCGAAGTACTCTGGCAGTGCTTTCGTCTTGCTATTCTTAGAGCTATACATTAATAAGTATAGTAAATGGGCTACATTTCCATCATTTTATTCTCCGAAAATCTAACCCATTCTTAGGAGAAAATAAAGTTCTTGACATACCTTGTCTTAATTCAAATAACGCTGCTCTGGATGCCTGCTCCCCAAACGGCACTAGATTTTTTAATCTATGGCCCCACCTAGTGCATCATGTAGGGCGCATCATCGTCGTCAGCACCCGTTGGACTGTCCAGGGACGGATTTATGCGCTTTTCCTTCTGGCGCCGATTGCAGAACCACACGCGAACCACCTCCTTCTCCATGCCCAAGCGATCGGCCAGTTGACTTATTTCTTCGCTCGTCGGCTTTTGATTAGCCATGAACGCCTTCTCCAGGGCCCCGCGTATTGTCGTCTCTATGGATGTGCGCTTCTTGCGGCGCCGTCCAATTATCTCGGGCGTGGTGACTGTTGCTTGCAGTGCAGCTGGATCGAAGACACCGCCTGTTGCCTGTATCGTGCGATCGGCATCGTCCAGCCACTTTTGCAACAATGGCTTCAGCTTGCACATGTTCTTAAAGCTCAGATTAAGCGCCTCAAACCGCGAGATGGTGGTCTGCGAGAAATCATTGCCATAGAGCTTGCCCATGGCCAGACCAACATCGCCCTGCGTAAAGCCCAGCTTAATGCGTCGTTGCTTGAAAGTCTTGGCGAACTGTTCCAGCTCCTCGAGATCAGTTGTTTCCTCAGGTGAGGGTTCGCCGGCAGCACGAGCATTGGCCACTGTCTTGGGCTGATGTGGTGTCTGTGTTCCGCTCGTCGGCGTGCTGGGAGTGAGCAGGCCGCTCATCTTGAGGCTAATGGCTGAGTTTGGCGGTGTGATCTGCAATTGTTGTTGCTGCGCTGTCGTATGGATGTGGGACATCGACAGAGAGAGCGGGGAGCTTGCAGGACTGTGCACAGGACTACGGTGCATATGGGGCGTGGAGCTGCGTAGCTCTGGCTTTGGTTTGCTTAGGGGTAGTGGCTCGTCCATTTGCATTTCTTCGTGCCGCTGCTGCTGCAACTCCTGCTGCTTTTGCAGTGCCTGTAGCTGCTGCATGGCTTGGCTCAATGCCTGCAATTGGCTCTGCATGAGGAACTGTGCAGCGGCCATTTGTGTGGTCAGGGCAGGATCATCCTGGGCCACGCCCAGTGATCCACTACGCAGCAACTCCATATAGCTGCTGAACTGCTGCTGTAGGGCTCCCTGGCGCTGCTGTAGTAGTTGCTGGAATTGCGCAAAATCTTGTGGCGAGATGGCAGCACCCGCGAGCAGCCCCGGATTTGTGAGTCCCAAGCCCGCAGCCGCAAACTGTGCCTGGGGGGATGAAAGACCAGGAATGGCCAAAAGTGGGGAAATACCACTAGCCACTGTGGTGGCTACAGCCGCTGCAGCTGCCGCCATCGATGTGGGCACGGGTGATGGCACCATTGGCGCGGGCGGGGGAGGGGTGAGGTTGGGTGTAAATTTCACCGACGTTGCGGGTGACTGTGTGCTGTGACGAGAGTTGTCGCTGGTTAGGTTCAGGGCACCACCGTTACCATCATCCTCGTCCTGCTGCTCCAACTTTTGCTGCTGTTCCTGAAGAACGTGTAACGGGTGCGGTTGCAGTACGCCGTGTTGACGCTTGTGCTGTCCCGACAGCGACAGCGCCGGACTCAGGGGAGAGCGGCACCGATCGCTGGATGTTCCCATACTCGAGTTGTTGTCGTCGCAGTCTGAGGCTGCAAAGAAACATAGATGATTTAAATTCTGAAATGCATGTTGTTTGCAAGACTAAGAAGTACATATTAGACCAATGGGGACTAAAAGGATTCTCTGTTATGAGGATAGTTTGGATGTGTTTCCAAATCTGCCTAACCCGGTCCTCCTATATGCTCATTTTCTACTTTTCCCTATTTATTTACTTTCCATCTCCCCTTTTCAGAGTCTTCATAAAGATGCTTAATGGTATTTGCACATGCCACGCGCGTTTATTGAAAATCTGAAAACTGTCCATTTGACTCTTCATAAAAATTCAACTTAGGCCTAAGTAACCCCCCACCCGTCCAGGACGTCGTTTTGACTGACCATGTCCTTTGCATAAATTTAGCATGCTCGGTGGGTACGATGGGCTCCGAGAAGTTTGATGCGGCAGAGTTTGTATAATTTTTGTTCAATTTCATAGTCCGTTGAGTTTTGGTGAAAGGCTTTCACGTGACCAGGCGTACGACGCGCCCACCCAACGACTCGTTCAAATACATTTTGCTATTTTATTATGCGAAAATGTGCACACGTCTTTCCCCCAACCACAACTACAGCCACAACCACTACCACTACCAACACCGCCACCGCCACCGCCAGCGCCACCGCCACCATCTCCCTAACTTTGTTACGGATCGACCGACCATAGTTTACATAGTTCACCTTGAGTATACTACATCAAATGGAATTCTCGTGTTTTCTTTCCATTTCTTCGGTGCTCCACTCGCTTTGTGCCTTGCGCCTTGCTTTCAAGTGCCATTTTAGCATTTCAAATGGCTCGCCTGTTGGCGCTCTTAGCTGGCACACACGATTTGTATAAATTTGCTATTTGTATGCATTTTATATGTGAACTCGGTCGAGCACAAAAGCAGCAGAAATAGGACTTTGGAAATTGGAAGCTGGGCGCATTTGTATGTGAGTGTGTATGTGTGTTTTTGCATTTGAGCCTGCCAATTGATTTGCAATAATATTTAAATTTGCCACTATATTTTGGTAAAGCCTCACTTCATGCTCGAGCAGCGGCCGCCACCCCCGAGTCCGTGCATGGCAATCAAAAATGTATTGTTACCCTTTTTCACACACACACACACACACACAGACACACACAAACACCCACAGATCCTGCTCCTGGCTGCTGCTGGCTTTGATGTGCTCCCACATGCAGATGCTTGTACAAACGTTTGGTCAGCTGTGTCCGTCGCACGTTTAACTTCCCCCTCCGAAAGGCCCTTCCAAATTTTGCATATGTTTGTTGTGGTTACTTTATGACTTGGCATGCTAGCTCTCTGGTGGTTGGTACGTGAATTTGATGACTTATTCGCCCAAGTTGGCCCCAAAGATGCTTCGAACACTCGTATAACTGGCTACCCTTTGGCATCTTCCACATATGCATCGGCCGACTGTCTGGCTACGTGCGGGTATTTGGTATTCAGATGATGTGCAAATTCGATTTGTTTGTGTTGCCCCAATGGTGTGTGTTGGAGATGGCCAGAGAACAGTGGCGGAGGAGTTGCGGGAAACTTATCTACCAATTTCCGCCAAACTTAAAATCGAAATCTGTGGGAGTATCACTAATTTCCGACAAATTCACAATTCAAATCAAGCAATTAAAAGAACAACTACTTAGCCCTTTATTGCCATATTTTTACTCTTTACAAAAAGTATACACATCTATCATTTGTATGCCACATCCATTAGAAAGTAAAGTACATTCTTGATCAGGGTTTTCAAGACTCGCCTAATGCCGTTTCAAATGGAATCCTGTAGAACGACGCCCCTGTCGAGCTAGTGAACCAATAAAAACCAAATGGTCAGTTAGACTGCATGTCTTACCACTGCCCCCCAGATTTCCGCCCACGTTCACGGTCCCGTAGCCGAACGGCATAATTTTTGCATAAAATATATGTAAATATGTTCGAAAATGCGGAGGTGCAGATAGAGAAAGAGAGAGAGAGAGAGATAAACGCGAGTGAGAGAGATAGAGAGCTGAAAGGAATCACTGCAACTGTGTCCAATAATATGAAAATTCAAATCAAGCCAAATGCTGTCAATAAAAAGGGAGAACTCTATATAAAAAGGCTGTTATCCACTCTCTTTTCGGCTAAAAGGGACAAGAGCATGACTAACGAAGACCGAATGTGGAAGAAGTGTACACACACACACACACACATACGAGAACAGGATGATGATGTTTCCTTGCAATTTGAAAAGTGTGAATTGCAAATTTTACGCATTTTGGATAAAAACGAGTAAAGGCCGGGATGGAAACAAGATATGAATAATAATGAGTTGATGTGCCAAATGATGTGATTTTCATATCTATGCAGTCCCTAGAAACTACATAACTAGTGTTTGGCTCTTTTACGAGTGTGTATCTTGATTTGTGTATATTTTTAACCAAATGACTTTAAATCAATTAAAATCTTTCCAACGATTGTCTCACACTTAGCTCCCAGCCAATCGCTCTGAAGGGAATCCAATTTACACGACTATTGTTACCTAATGCGCCCAACCCGAACTGTGTAATTAGGAGGCTGTTAGGGCAGGGCGCTCACGCATTTAATAAGACATCAAAATCAACTTAAAGACGCTGTTCTCGGTCTTGGGATTGTCGCCTAAATCACAAACACACTCACACACCATCTCCCGAAAGGGCTGCGTGCGACAAAAGTTTTGTCAGCCTTCTGTGTCTGTCCCTAGCAGTGACGCGTGGCGCACGGGTGTTGGACCTCTGCCATAGTTCCATAGTCAGGGCCTGTTGACAGGCAAGGGTTGCTGCTTGGCACTCGAGCACTCTGTTTATTGTCTTTGTAATATGAAAACGCAGCCTCAATGAAAACATTCGAATGATTTAGTGAAATGGATGCGGCAGAGCAGCGGGCAAGCAGATGTTTCACAGTCCGCTACAGACACAGACACAGATACAGATACAAAGTGGACAACTCGTAAATCTAGCATTGGGGTTAGTTGGGTATAATAGTTGGACAACAGCTGATGTCTTAATGGACTACCACTGGCTTAGCATAGAGTTCAAGGGAAGGAGTTGGGACTTACCATTCGATTGCAGCGGCGACGGCGAGCGCGACAGGCGGCTAATATCTGCAATGAAAAGTAAGAGAAAAATATCGTTTAGTGGAAATTCAATGCACTTAAAGTCCAGACCACTAAAACGGCACGGAGCAGACGACACACGTGTCGAACATAAAGCGAATCGAAAGCACACAAATACTCCTATACGAGTATAGTAGTATAGTATGTATTTGTAACGAAATTTTCAACGTTTCTTTACGATTCGGGCTTAATATACAAATCGATACATTTTAGCAGACTGACCAAATGGCAGTCACAGGGGCATCCATAGAGCAGAAGCACATGCGGTGCTCACGTCGCGACAGCGGCGCTAAAAGCAACAGCGCAAATGCACACATAAAAGGATATTTTTATAGTCCTTGCGTGGCAAGGAAAAAGTGAACACCTGGTGCTGTGCTGGTGCATGCATATATACTTGTATGTACAAGTATGTACGAGAGTATACTCGTATGTGCTGCCAATGGTCAAGCGTTTGGGGCTCGATTTGAATTCGGAATTTGTTTGTGGCAGCAGCATTTGCTGGCTTGTTGGCATTTTATGATCGCACAAATGGGAAAGGAGTCCAGGTCTTCCGGCTAATTTATGTTGCAACGACTGGACTGCAAAACAGTCATTCTGGTGTTGACCTATGGATGACTAATCAGTTAGATAAAGAAACGATATTGATTGAAAATAGACTACCTAATCAAAGCTGCTTCGGCTGACAATCTGAACTCCCACCCGACCTTGAAGAAATGACTTCAGGCTATTGGCCGATATATTCTACATCATCTGCTGTCGTATCTGCCTTAACCGTGTACAATAGTCGAGTATTAAATAAATAAATATGTATGCACATATATTGCGTCACTTTCATCATTTCTCCAGAAGTTCGCTTTAGTTGTCCCTCATAGCTGCCCCACATACTCCGAGGCACGCGTGCCACGTCTTGTCGTCACTAATTAAGCTGCAAAAGACGGTCTGACTGCCGAACCAGCTCTAGCAGAAGTGCCGCTCGAGCTAAAGTGTTGAGTCTCAAATGAAGGCGGATGTGGCATATGCGCCGTGTCCGTAGCACCAATCATGGTGCGCCACTTAAAACGACAGCGGCGGCGACGAGGGCAGGCAAACAAATTCTCAAAACAGCGTTAAAATGCCACATAAATTATTGTTACTTTTACTTTTGGTCGACGCTGCACCCCCGCTTGCTATTAGTTCATGGAGCGCGTGCCCAGCACGGGCCAAAATACTCGTACATACGTATGTATGTGTGTGTGTGTGTGTGCAACACCTCCAGCTATTGAACCAAAGGACCATTTGGTCATTTTAATTAAGAGTGAATGGCATTCTGGGTGCAAGGGATGGTGGCGTCAAATTTTAAATAAAACCCGATTTTGCAACTAAAAACCACAAGCAGTTGCCACCCCGCTAGGCCGAAATTTAGAATTATGTGGAAATGGCCTCGAAAAATTCGCAGCGGGTGGTGCTTAGATAGACAGACAGACAGACAGACTCGCATATTACAGCTATACAGAGATACTTTTCACTCTGGCAGATATTTCTGCGTATGCCAATCCGTCGACTGCCACACAATTAGTCAATGACCCCGTGAGTCGTCGGGGTGTGGTGGATGTCCGGGTGGAGGTGGGGGTGGCCTACGCAGCTAGTTGTGAGGAAGTGGAAGCTGCGGACACATATACTTGTACGCACATATACGCGTATATACACGCACACAATCACTACCGGCACACACATCACGTGCGCAGACAGACTGACTATCGATTGAGTCGTCGTCCTCATCAACTCGCAGTGGTCGTGGTCGGTCCCGTCCCGTCCCGTCTGCTGTGGAGTCGGAAGCTGCGTGTTTTGAACTCTTGACCCCACGCTCAATGTCTACAGCCGAATTTTGCGTGTGCATGTGCGTGTAGTGTGTCTGTGCTTTGGGCCTTTTGTTTTACATGAATTTTCGTAGCAAAACAAAGAAACCCAGAGAGCAAGACTTTGTGGTAAAAGGCACAGAGAGATAGAGCTAGAGAGGAGAGAGCGCTTGCACAATAATAAGAAAGTCATTTAAACATTGTCGACATTTAGGCACAGAGCGGCCAGTCTGGGGTGATATGTACTTGTATACTTATATTCATTAAGTATTGCCTCTGGTACGCTTCTTTGTTCCATTAAAAAGGCTATAATCGTTTTCGTAACCCCCGAATTTGCAATTTGCAACAAAAAATGCAGTCTGGTTTTTGCTTGTCAGCTAGACTCATCTTTGATGAGCTCATGGTGAGCCATGACGAAAAAACCCGTGTGGAATTGTCGTCAATAGCCCATAATCTCCTAACTAAATGTATTTGTTTAAAACTGATTGGCATTCTGAACAATCAGCTAATTTATTATAATCGACACCATGCCATAGTGACGAAATTTGTTTATTGGCCCAAGAGTGCTTCGTGAGTTGAGTTGAACTCATATTAATGTACGCGCAGGTGCGCAGTTGTTTTTATGGATCCATAGCAGTTGATAAGCCCAAAATAGGATGTGTGATAAGACATGCGGTCTTACTAGCACAATAACATCATCAGAAACTTAAGTCTCGATAACTCATTTGTCACGTGCCCGTGAAAATTTGAAGAAATTTAAATAGATGCAACGTAGGCGAATACTTTCTATGTGTAATTACTTGTAGGGGACACTAAGTGCTTGGTTGAAATACGTAAACCTTACATTCTGAAAAGCCCTGCCTTTCCCTATATTTGTTCTTCCCATACATTCAACTCCGTACCATCTACGTGGAGAACATTATCTTGAATTTGCGCGAGCACCAATAACCTGGCACGAAGGTGCACCAGCTGTGTAAGCCATTCACAACAACAACAACAAACCAATCATTAAATAAACCGATATTACGCATGTTCCAGTAATAGGCGTCTATGATTTTACTATTTTTCTTTGCTATGATAAGCAACAATTTATAAGTATTGTTTACAACAGGTACCGGCTCTATCGAGCACCACCAGCTGACCGTTTGTAAACGTCTTGTGCAAGAACTGCGCCCTTAGTGTAAGTTTTATGTAAGCATGTCTCCTAACTAGGTCGGTTCTCGATGTTAACTATATAGTGGTATAGCAGTTGATAATTTACCTTCCCTTGTGAAGTACTTCTGTCTTATTATAGAGGCTTGCAACTTATAGAATTGTATTCAAATTTTGTGTATACTTTTAATCCAAGAAAAAATTTTAATCACCACATTAATATTATGTATGTGACAGAAAGGATGACAATGGCCGGACGATTTGAGATAGACATAGTTATACCATCCGTTGCATAAAAATCAAGAATTTTTCAAACACACGGCACCAAATGAAGGACTTCTCTTATGGCAGAGGAACGAGCAGAGCTCATTCACTAAAGATTTCGTAGGAAAACTTGGAAACTTGGTTTGTGATGAGCTTTTAATCATGATCCACTATATTTGAAAGGTTCATCCAAATCGGTATACTAAGCCATATAGCTTTTGTAACAACAATTGGTGTTTAAGTTAAGGTTTATTTTATTTTATTTGAGGTGCGGGCTTTATTTTTTTTTATCAGCTTTCCATTTCTGGTCAAGGTCTTATTTTTGAATATGAATCTTCTAACTACTTGCTTTATGTTTGATAATTATGCTAGCATAAAAAGTTAAAAAATGTAGAGTATTGTAACTTCGACAAAGCTGAGATCAACTTTCCGTGGTTAATTGGTAAACGTGAGTCATGTGTGATTAAATGCTGTTAAATGTGGAAAATACCTAAATTACTGCAGAGATTAGATACTCGAATATGTATAGTATGTAGCTACTACTTGTATATACTCGTGTGTGCATATGTCATGCATGTATAAATAAGAAGATGTGTAGAATATATAGCGTATTAAAATATTTCTCAAAAAATTCGTATCACTAGAACATTGAATTGTTTTTTAAGCCCAAGTAGTATTAAATAAGCCGCAATAACTTCCCGAATTGAGGTGTTTTAAAAAAAGTACTAGGTGGTTAATTAATTAACTTACATCGATTTTGCATAATGTGCACTGCAGCGTCTCGCCCACTGGCCGGCGTCTTCAGCAAGTCTCGCTTCAAGGAATTGTTATTATCCTCGGGACTAGCTGTGTGCCAACGTAGCTCCGACATAACCATTTTCACAAAGATATATAGATATGATTGGAAATTTGTTGAATGTTTTTATTCCTGTTAGCACGAATGTTTTTTGTTCTTTCTTTCTACTAGTATTTTGCCACAATTTGCACTTGAAACATTTCACTTGGTTAATGTTTTTGCATGAATATAGTATCTTGTAATCTATGTTGCTTGATTAGAGCGCCGGGCACCAGAAACTTGCGTCCAAACGCGTTCGTGTTTCGTGTGAAACTAAACAGAGCAAAGGAGTCCTAGCGACAGGATAACTCTTGACGTTGCGCTATGAATGATGCGGCCAGACTAACGGATAATCACTAACAGGCACATGTAGCTAGGCCGAGTTTGAGTTGTAGATGTTGTTGGTGCCCTGCTGATGATGAACGGGCGCTGCACTGCCGACGGAACGCTTCACGCTGCGTCGTTTGTGCCCTTCTCGCTCTCTTCGCCTATCTTGCGCTCTCCCCTGCTTGTCGTTCTTGCTGATGGCTCTTGGTCCTTAATGCTTATTGCACTCAAAACACTGTGGACTAGCCGGCTTATTTGAGTGAAGGTTTTCCTCACTCTGAGTGGGAAAATAGTGATTTTCCACCCAAAACGTTAAGAAATCGAATCTCAGACAGCAGTCCAATGTTGAATTGGGAGAAGGGGAAGTTGTTTTTTGCCACCCCACTGATAAGGGTTGATTTCCTTTTTTTACAATGCGCAACACACATAAACACAAATAGAGTTGCAGAGGCGCGCGCACACGCTTTGCGTATAAAAAACCGTTTACGTTCACGTTGAATTACTGGTATAAAACGCAACAATAAAATCGGCGGCCCACTGCTGCTGCTGCTGCTCAGAACGGTTCGCTCCACAAGAGTCGGCGTATAACTGGTTTCATGTTGGCGTCGCAACTGCACTCGAAGCCGTCAGCAAGACAGGCGAGCGAGCGAGCAGCGGCGAATGAGCGCCAACGAGTGCTAAGCTCCCCAGTTACATATACTCGTACTCTGTGTGTGTGTGTGTGTGTATGTGTGTGCGTGAGTGGATTGTGGTGTGAGCAGTTCAGCACTCATACACATGCACGCACATTATTTACCGTTCTTTGCGCGTTTGAATATCTGTTAGAAATGAGTTCCACACACAAGGCATGTGTGTTTATGTGCTTATGTGTGTACTTCCCCATTTCTTATTCGAAATCATTGTGGATCGTACAGACGCTCCGTCTCATTCGCCAAGAGGAGAAGTATGCGCTCACTCGTCGTTCGTTTACGAGTGAGATTGAGGCTGTTGAATTTGCATTTGCCGCTATGCATGTGTGTGTATGTATGTATGTATGAGCATGTGTGAGTGTATTGTAAATGCGCGCGCTCCAACATTTTATACGTTTTAAAATTTTACTACAATGTCGACGTCGCGACGTCGCAATCGGTTCGTGCGCTCGGCTTTGCCGTCGTTGGGCTCCATTGTGTGTACTTTGGATCGGAGTGTGCATATATATTTGTGTGTGTGTGTGTATATGACCATGCGTGCGCTTGTTGGGGGTGTGGCTTAAAATTTAAATTTGGATTTCAAATGTATTTTATACACACATCGGCGTTGGCCTCGGCCCCGGCGTCGTTGGCCACTGTGTCTGTGTGTGTATGCATATTTTTTTATGATTGGCGCACACGCCTGAAACATAGTCAAAACCTTGCGCATGTAAGCATATGTATGTATGTGTGGATGTGGTGTGTAGCTCTGTAAGTGTGCGTTATGACTATGTAAAATATTTTAAAGCTACGTCGATGATGACTGCGGCACCATCCTGCCAGCCATTTTGGCGCTGCTTTGGTTTTTGGGCCATTGTGGTTGGTATTGACGTTGACGTCAGTGGCAGAGGCACTGGCACTGGCAGCGGCAGCGGCAGCGCCGATATCCACCTATTCTTTATTGTTGCTCTTCGTATTTTCGTTATTGTAAGTCTTGGTCCTGGTTCTGTCTGGTGCCGCTCTCTCATTCACACAAACTCGCACGAACCACACACACAGTTTTTCTATTCATATATGCAGCTTGCCGCTGCTTCGGTCGTTGTTTTTGCCATGTAGACTGGCTTCCGACCACCCATGCACCAGCCGAACCCCACCTCCATTTTGGTGGTAGTCTGTTTGTTGGATTTTATTTAGTTATCGCTTCCTTTTTCTAAGGTTACTGTCGCAGTTTCTGTCAGGGGCTTTCACTTCGTTAATTATGATGATTTCTTTGCATTTAATTTTTTATGTATATTGTGCAATGATGAGAGAAAGTATTGGAATGGAGTGTACACGCATACATATGTATAAGGGTATTATGAAATCGTTCATAGTTTTTGTAAAAACAAAAAGCAGGTTTTACAAAAGATATCTCTTGATTAATGCAAGGAAAATCGTTGTAGAGGGTAGTTCAAACTGTCGATCTGACCAACATAAAATCCACATACATATACTTGTAGCTCTCATTGGACCGATTTGGGCAAAAAACACTCTTATTTGAGTTATATAGTGAACTTTTAAGGATATCGGAATCGCACGCACATATTATGTTTGTGAAGATATCTTCAGCGAGTTTGTCTCACATTAATACATACAAATTTTGGAAATCCTCAAAAGGAACGATTGGATTAGGTATATAGGAGTCGAGCGGGGGACTTTGTCATTTATTTCTTACCGAACTTAATTAAATAAAAAGTCAAGCTATGGCTTAAATATGTACATACTATATATACATAGGTACAGATATTCAGAACACGCATGTGGGCGAAATACCAAAAATATCGTACAGACCCTCGACCGAAAATGTTGGTAATAAAAAATGTTGGGAAAAATTCAGGTAGATATTCACTTTTTATGTATGCTCTAACTATGGAGAAAATAACCAAAATAGTTACAAAGTCGTAAAAAGTCGCATCGTGAGTAACAGTCAGGTACCTAAAAAATCGTACAAATTCATTTGTCCTGCCGCACGATGCCCAGTGCTTCCGTCAGTGATAACCACCTAAGGCTTTGGGATTCTGTGCCCAACTCATGGTTTTCGCGCTCTTTGCATTTTTTACGACGCGCACAAGGGACAAGACTGAGGTTGTAAATTGCGGCGATTTCCACGTAAATCATAAAAAATTTAGATACGTTATGGTACGAGTATCTTTTCCTGGCTGACATTGAACCTTCAGCAGCATCCCTTCAGCGTATGGGCTACATGTTAATTAGTCGAAACGCTTACTTCTTGCCGATATGCTTGCCGCCTGTCAAACGAACTACTGGTTTTGAATGCTCTCACGTTCGCAAAGAGTTGTTAAAAAGGTCACGCCAATGGCGTTGACTTGCTGACCGTTTGACTTTTGTTCAACCTACTGCGTTTGTTCACGAAAAACTATAGGTTGCTATGGACGTCCTTGCTTGAGTTCGTTGCTGGGAATTACTAAAGTCAATGTAGGCAAACATCATAAAGGTAGTTTAAGTAAGCAAAGAAGAGTTAGGCACTTCAAGAGGCAAACTCCAGTTTTATTATCGCAGCCGGAAAATATAATAAATGAAGGGGTCAAGGAAAAGGGAAATTATGATGTACACAAAACGCTGTCTCTGCTATCTATTTATAGAAAAACAAAGTCATAAAATTAGATAAGGCTGCACTGTACTGAGATGGGTTTTTAAATTTGGGCTAAATTAATCAGAAATAGCTTCTTTCGGAAGCAATTCTCAACATTTAACCCACGAGAGGCATCTAAAATTTTATTGATTCCATTGCTCTTACATAGCTGAGCAGATACATTTTACACAACCCTCTTATATTGCATTTCAAAAGTATAGTTGCAAACGGATTTACCTTAAGGATCGTGAGAAACTCTCGGCAAAATCAACGATAACCTTAAATATTTTATCTGAATGGCGCATAAATCACCAACCACTATGTTTAGCTAAGCATAGTAAAAAATGTAATTAAAAAGGTATTGAAATACGGAAAGAAAGTTCCTCAAACCACCCCTAAAAAGGCAAGAGAAAAATTTCATGCTAAAAATTGCATAAAAAGTGGAAAAATAAGAATGCAGTATAGGTAAAAAGGCTCCTTCTTGAGTAACGGTCCAAGATGGATATGCATATTCAGAGGCAGCTACCTGAGTGCCTAAAAAGTGTCCCGTAAATTGTCCTTTACACTCACACACAATTGCTTGTTGTACTTTCAGCTGAAAACTACATTGCTCTGGGGTGTCAAATGCTGCTGGAAGCGTAACGTTTTTTTCCTGCGACTCGTTAGTGTTCTGCTCGGTATGCCCGTAATTTCTTTGTTTGGTTTCTTTTTATACACTTTCTTATCGAGACGGGTAGACAGCGAAATTGATTTCTGTTTTTTACCCCAAAAATACATATACAATTTTTTTTTTTTTTGGTTTTGCTTTGTGTGCAAAGGACATACATAAAATTCAAGACGTCATTGAATTCCATCCGTGTCGTGCTTCGTCATGTTACGAAACAAAAGACTGCGAGTGCGAAATCAAAAATGTCATTCGAGTTTTGTAAAAAAACAGACTCGAGCTCATATATAATTTTTCGTTCGCCCAAAATGCCCAGAAATAGTAATTTTGGCAACAAGCGAAAATTTCTGTTTATAAATTCAAATCGGAGGCTGATCTATAGAATGGAGTAGTATGAAATTATGCTCACCATCCTGGCCCTGTAATTTCAGACACTGCTTCACATCGGGCATGCCTTGGGAGTTAGTGAAATGCCCCGAGAGTGGCGCAGCTCTTGTAGCTCGCTTCCCATGCTCCCTCAGCTCCTCGAAGTTCTCTGAGAGCTCATCAGCTTTCAAGTTGAAAGGCGACATGTGCCCCCTACTGCTGACCTGGTCCTGCGGGCGTTTTAAGTTGTTTGCTTGCTGCTCAACATATTCGTCGCACGGTTGCAGCTTTAATTCGAGCGTCAGCTTCTGTCGCTTCCCGGATATGTTGGCACTATTTTGCTTATCCTCCTCGCCGGACGGCATCTCACCGGACGGGGCTCGGATCGCACAGCTCTGATTTTTGCTGACGTTGCGCGTATTTGTGTCAATAGCACTCGGTAAAGTTTGCTCGTCATCGGACGCATTCTTGCCATCGGTATGGTTGGCCGTTAGTGAGGCCAACACCCGCGTCTCTTCGTCCTCAGGTCGGCAATTAGCGTAGTTGGCCACGAATTGTTGACTTTTGAAATTGTCTGCCTCAAACTTGAAGTGTCGTGAGGGGGGCAATGGGAGCGCCTTCTGAGTTCCAACAACTGCAAGGAAGAAATTTGGAATGTGAGTCGCCATTTTATGGTAGGCTTTTCTATATTTTAAGTGGCCAATGAAATCAGTGGCCCTATCACATCCAAAGGGTTGAAATTAACATAAGCCTATGAGCACACATAAAAAGACCAATACACAAATCCAGCAACCCTTTTTTAACACTTCC